CTGGATATAGCACTCTGGTCTCCTGGCTGTATTCCAATGGAATTTTACCAAACTAGTTTGCAAGCCTTTTTTTAATATTAAAAGGTGCCTTCTGAAGAGGGGGAAGTAAAGTGCTTTTTTTTTTTTTTTTTTCTTTTTACCTTTGCACTCTTCCCACTTCTTGTGGTATAAGCAGGAAGAGATACACCAGGTAGTGGGTCGGCTCAGATCTGAAACATCTTCCAAAATATTGTATTGCGACTGTTGAAGGGAACCATAAATCCAGAGCAGTCATTACTTCTAGTTATTCTCTCCCTGCTGCACAGTGTGTTTCATGATCTAGATGTTCCTTGAGCCAGTTATTATCAGGGTGTATTTGGGACAGTTTAGAATGGTGATCACGCACAATAACAGTGATTAAGTGTGTTTTAATTTGGGGAGTTCTGTTAACCTGTTCCTTCTGATTTTTGTTTTTAGTTTATCTAAACCTGCTGTTGGCCAGGTATGAATGTGCAACTACAACTTGCATGGTTCACCTTTCTTTTCTTTTATTCCTTTCTCAGCTACAGCAGTGTACACCTGAAGTAGTTCCAAAAGTTCCTCTAGGTTTACACTATTGTGAGATAGCAGAATTTGACTCCCAACTGTACCTTAATACGTTTTTCTCTACCAGTCAGTCATGGTCTGATGTATTTTAGGATAGCAATATCTCTATTGAATCTGTTGAATCTCATTTTACATGTGCTTTGCAGCCTGCTGAATGCGTTCTGACTCAGCCTGAAAAACAAAGAGAACGCACTGAGAAGACAAAAAGGAGAAGGAAGGTATGTCTCACTCTTTGCTAAAGGTTCAGCACAAAGACAATTCAGGAGCAGGGGGAAAAGTGGGAACTTTATTTTTACTTTTCTAAAACATGTTATTTTTAGAAGGACAACTCAAATGTACTGTGACTAAAAGACTGCAGTGAGTTTTAGAAAGGAGATAATCCCTCTCTTCATCGACTTCAGCAAATACATGGACCAAACCTTGTCCTTTCATCCTGAACAAATAAAGTGAATGAGCTTAATGGAGGGATTGTAATCATAAGAGGAGCCAGCCACTTCAATTACTCCATGTCATGGGTAAAGAAAAGCAATTCGTTGTGTTAGTCTGAAATCAGGCAGAAGGCAAAGTACAGTGGCATCTTAGAGACTGCTTCAGAGAGGCATGAGCTTTTGCAGGTGATGGCCTACTTTTAGACTAGAAAAGCTCATGCTTTTCTAAACTACCTAGTTAGTCTCCAAGGTGCCTCACTGCCCCACCTTCCTCCCATGGATGGGAGAGCTGTCCCTGGTGCCCCTTCTCTACATAGCACCAGTGAGTGAGCTCTAAGTATTGACCTTTGGCCATGCTTTGGGGGCTACCTAAATCGCAGAGGAACGTACCAATTTTTGTGGGTTGATTGTGGTGTAAAGTTCTAATGTTGCAGTCATTTTACAGTGGCCCTGCCCCTTGGTGCTGATTGGTGGAGAGGCCTGGGGGTGGGGAGGAGGGACAAGTGGGCAGCTGCATCTTGATTGCTGCCTGCCCTTCATGCATCCCTATCCATTGGCATTGAGTGGTGGAGAGGCTGGGGGTTGGGGAGGGACAAGGGGGTGGCCACCATCTTGATTGCTGGCTACTTTTCATGCGGCCCCAGCTCCTCTGCACTCATTGGAAGAAAGGCCCCAGCGGAGGGACGAGAGATGAGAGGGCGGCCTCTATCTTGTCTGCTGCTCTTTGTGCTGTCCCCCCAGCTGGCACCTTAGCCTCCCAACAGTGAGGCCATATGCTAGGGAGCCAACATTTTATTTGTATTAAATTATTAAGTTTTGTTGTTGTTGTTTATTTCATAGACAATCCTAGATTTTACAGTTTCCATGAAACCGCAAATTAAGCAGGTCCCTAGCTATGGCCCTTTCTTGCACCTCTGGACATCCTCCACCATCCCTCACCCTGCAGGTTGGTAGGGTTTTCGTTTAATGTCAGAACTCATCCATCCTCTGGGGAATTTCAGGGTTTAGCTTTAAACGCAGGGTTGGCAGAAAGAATCATGTGTCTTGTGCCTTTTACCACAGCCAGAGCAAAAGCATCCCATGATGGAAATGGGTGAGTGAGGCCTTAAAATGAATCTTCAGTTTGCACACAAACAGTTGGGGTTTAGTCAAAGCTGTTGCTTCAGTGGGAACATGTCACTGACACACAACCTGGTGCACAACCTGTCAGGAAATTGTTGTGCAGTACTTGTCAGCCTAATCTATAGGCCTCAAACAAGCTGTTCACTCTTTAAAAAAAAATCCTTTGCTTTTTAACCATCTGGAAAGAATTGGAAGAAAAATAATAATATTTCTTATGTGAAGAACATTTCCCCACATCTTGCTTTGAAGGAATAAAGCATGTTCAGGTGTCCTTGCTTGTGCTGTTATGGAATTTCTTGTTAATATCAACATTCCCCTTAAGAGAAATATATTTTTCCTAAAGGAATTGAGTGACTCAGTAAATGATGTAATGATCCTATGAAATGGCAAATTATCTTGAGGCCCTGAGTAAATGAGTCTGGTTGATTTGGGGTTATTATCTGTGAAGCAGTATGTAAAATGTAACTAGAGAGTGCCTTTGCCTGCAAGTGCTGCACAGCAGAAACATTTTACCCACAGAGGATGTAACTTTAATTACTGCTTTTGACTGAGTGGGTTTGAAATCACAGGCTTGGATACTGCCAGGGTCAAGGATACTGCCAGGGCCAAGTCCAAAGACAGCTGAAAGCTAATGGAAAGTCTCCCAGTGACTTCCAAGGGCTTTGGATCAGGCCTTGCATGTATGTGGACCAGGCAAAAATACTGATATCCATGATGTTGAGGTCTGTCATAGGCTGCAATCCTATTTACACAGTGGATGGAGGAGTTAGCTGGGACTGCTCAAATGAGAGCTTCTTAATATCAGGAGGAAGGGTTCACAGTCATGCCAGTTTTGCTCCATGCTGCTCTCTGCTTTATTTTTAGAAGTGGTGATATCTACTTAAATAAAGAGGGATCCAGGCTTTTTTATTCATTCAGTACTGTAGAACAGGGCTTCTGGCTTTGGTGCAGCTGACTTGCACTGGCAGTGCATGTCCCTCCCCACTCATGTGGCAGCGGGAGAGAGGTCCATGGGCTGCATGTTAAGTTCTTGTGGGCCATAGGCTGACCCCTCATGGGCCACCAGTTGGACAGCCCTGATTTGGAAAGTCAAATCATGACTTAAGATCATGGCAAAATGTCGCACCATTTTCAATGGGACGAGGTTTAAGCACTAATATGTGGGCTTCCCCTCTAAAAAGTTACTTTCCTGACTACTTGTTCCAGATGGGCTTCTGGATAATTTACAGAAAAGCTTGTTGCTCTTCTTTATGTTGCAAAATAATCTTCAAAAATGTTATATTTTTAAAAACGTAGGTTTGCATTTGAAATTTCAGTCTTTCCCCCATACAGCCATGTAGAATACAGCATCTTGCAGAAACTCCTATACACACATGGACTCTCTTTCTCTGATCTCCTTCTCCTACCAGCCCCACTAGACACTGGGTGCGTCTACACATTCATTAATACACCTCTGCTACTACGCATTAAGTTTGGTACCTCTCACATAAAGTACTACATGAAAGCACATTAGCCTGTGCTAATATTCAGTAGCAAAGGCAAACTTTTTTTTAATGATGCCTAATGTGTAGTAGAGTCATTCTACTATGTATTAGTATGGTTTTTGTCATGACACACTAATGTGAAGTAGAATTAGTCTACCGCTCATTAAGTGTCTCGTGTAGAAGTGCCCACTGAAAACCTCCATTCAGGTGTCTGCCTCCCTAGAAAGTTCAGGTCCTACAAAGATCTTGACCAAATCCCCCAACAAACAAATCATCTGGTATTCTCAATATTTTCAAAGTAGTATTGTCACACCCCATCATTCAGAATCACATACCAACTCCCCCAAACTTATGTACTCATGGTATTTGAAGTAAATAAAATAAATCAGTGTTGAGTTCTTTTTCTTTGAATTCTGGTTTTTGACCCAGGGTGGTACACTTCAGTCATGTTTTCCAGGTTGTTCCCTAAAGACAAAAGGGCTGAAAGCTATCTTCATTAATTTAAAGGAAGCTAGAATTTGTATGCAATCACTTGAGCTCTGAAGCTGGAGCATAGTGAAAAACACCAGACATTGGGAGATTTGAGAGTTGCTAAAATGCTAAAGTTATAATCAAAGCAAAGCTTATGCATAGATGTACCTTTTCAGGTCAGTTTTAATATGCCAGTACTGCAGGTGAGTATGCAATGTGCCTGGGGATTTTGCTTCACAGTGTATCTTTTTAAAGTCCCTTGACCCAGTTCTGAAAACCATGCTCCTAATGACTACAGTGGAACTTTTGCCTGATTACAAGAACTGTATGTGAGCTGCACAGGCATAAAACAATAAAGAAACATAGTCTTATGTAGCATTGTGGATTATTGAATAATACGCACATACTCTACTCAACATGTCTGTTTTGTTCTTTTTTGTAGAAGAAAATTTCTGATGTTCTTGCAAAATCATCTCCTAAACCAGGAGTCCCTGAAGACCTGCAAAATCTACTTAATCGGCATTTTGGTACTAAACGTTCAGTAATTGAACTAGAAGAATTAAAACTGCCAGGTAAAAAATGCTGTAACAAAGAGAGATGTTTTACTATTTTTTACACAGGAGAAGAATTATTTTCTTCTAGGAAACAGAGGATATTTTAGGACATATCTAAGTCTGGTGGTTCTATTTTATAAAAATAATTTCAAAGTTATATTGCAATGTTGTTTCAATTGATTATTTCTTTTGGAGTAAGTAGTGGCTCTGCTTTCTAATTTCCATGGTTATGGGAATGGAAGGGAAGCATTTTTAAGTAGACCCACTCTCTGTAAAATGTTATTTCAAGAACTTTTCTTTCTTATAAGAAGTGATGGGATTTATGAATGATGATAATGGCTAACAAAGGCTCCTGGTGTTGGTTGAATTGCACCTGGATACTTAACAGATGGGCTCACCTGAACTGAAGCATGTTTTAAATGAAAAATAAACAGTTGTCATTCTAATTGGTTCAGGTTCTTTGTACCTGTTGACTTTTCAAGGAGCTTATAAAATGAGCTGGTAACTATAGTCCAGTGTTTCGTGGATGGATTTCAACCACAGCTAGCTCTTTTGTTGACAGTCTTCTGGAATCGCTTCCCTTACAGATCAGCCATTAAGAGAGTATGGAATTAGAGACAAAAGTCTTATGTCATTCCTCTGAAATTTTAAGGCTTGCTAGAGGTGAAGGTGAAACTGTTCTGCTTTGCCCTTTGTTTTGTGGATAGGGGGAAAATTCATTTTCCAGAACTGTCAACGCAGCATCTTTCAAAAGCTTCAAATTCCTAAAGTTATTTTGTTTCAGTTTAAAAGTCAAAGTATACTTTTCTTAAGGTTTGGAAAGTGAGAAGTTTTTTCTGTTGTAGCTTACCTTAGCTCCTGATAGATTTAGCTTAAAACTTTTAAGGGTTTTTCATTTTGAGCCTGGGGGGTAGCATTAATCCTGGTAACTGAAATTATATGAAGTTAACACGAGCACCTGTTTTTAGATATTGTGTACTTGGAGCCAACAAGACCCTACTTACAAGTTAATTAGCTTATATGTTAGTTTATTGCTACTCCCTGAACTGTTTCTGCCCTGTGCCCCTAGTGGAACATTTCAGTCCGGCTGTGCTCTCTCTTTTGTAGTGCTTAAAGCTTGTCTTTCTAGATAACTGCTCTATCTTGACAGCTTTGTTTGGACATACATGATCCTAGTTTGACCCTCATTTCTGCCTTTGGGGTCAGCTTAGCTTTCTTTGTGAATCAAGAGATCTGCTCTTCTGCCACATTAGAGCCTAAAACCAGAGAAGTTCCTTCTGTACTGCTCTGAACTGCTTAAATTTTGTATTTCTAGAATCTATAGGGTACTGTGCAAATAATACATCTCTGTGATCTCTTTCCCAGTCAGAAACGCCTTTAGGCCAGAGAAGCAATTCATTTACATATGGATTGGGTTTGTTGTTTTTTTCTGTCTTTTTTCTTTTGGTCAGGAGTTGGAAGCTTACAAAGCCAAGGGGGTTAGTGACTTATACAGCTGTCAAGTCATTCATATCAGATCACTGGGCAGAACAGAGAGCAACTACTTTGAGTTGTTTGTTCATGTCAGGAAAATACAGTGAATGTAGATGCTCTGCTCTGAGCCATTGTGGCTTTCATCTGCAGCAGGCTCTGAGTCTGCAGTTTTCTCCTTTCTGGGCCTGTCTAAGGTGTCATTAACATTGATGATACTGAAGATTAGTGATTTTATTTAGTCTTCCAGTTGGAAGATAGAAAAGAACCATGTCCTTGTCAGTCTTCTTTTGAACCATTCAGTGTTGTTTGGTTATTAACATTGTTGCTAGCTAGTAAGCAGAACAGCCAAAGGTATATCCTTTGAGATCTCCATTGGACTCTCTCCAATTTGTCCACATCCTTTTTGTAGTGGGGGGCCAAACTGAACACATTATTTCAGATGCAGCTTCACCAGTGCTGAACAGAGGAGGGCAGTGAAAATGGTGAGGGGGGTGTGGGGCACATGACTTCCAAGGAGAGGCTGAGGGAACTAGGCTTATTTAGTCTAGAGAAGAGAAGACTGAGAGGGGATTTAACAGCCTTCAACTCCTTGGGGAGTGATTCCAAAGACGATGGAGCTGGACTGTTCTCAGTGGTGGCAGATGACAGAACAAGAAGCAATGGTCTCAAGTTGCAGCAAGGGAAGTTTAGTCTGGATATTAGGAAAAACTCTCTCACTAGAAGGGTTGTAAAACAATGGAACAGCTTATCCAGAGAGGTCGCAGAGTCTCCATTCCTGGATACTTTCAATTTCCTGGAGACTTTTACATTCCTGGCTAGACAAAGCTTTGCCTGGGATGATTTAGTTGGGGATGGTCCTGTATGAGCAGGAGGTTGGACTAGATGACCCCCTGAGGTCCCTTCCAACCCTCATTTTCTATGATTCTATGATTCTGTCTCTAATTTATACCAACAACAATGGATGCCACAGAAGGTAATGAACAGGGAATAGGTCACGCTAGATATATCTGGTTCAGTGTTCTCCTTCTAAAGCATTCCCCTCCTGCCACTGTCAAAGACAAGATACTGAGATAGATGGAGCATTGGTCTGACCCACTATGACACTTATGTTCTTATGGGTTTGAGACATCACATTCAGCCTGCTTGGGTCCTTGTTAGCATACATAGCAACAAAGGGAGATGACATGATTGTTCAGAAGGATGTGTATTCAGTTAGTTGTGACTAGAATTATTGCACATTAAGGAAATGCACAGTAAGTGATTTTTAGCAGGTGTCTACATGTGCACGGATCTGGCACTAAATTTAGTGCCAGGTCCCTCCAGCCCTGTCATGTGCCCCTGTGGCCATTGTGGGGGAGCTCCAGCTTCCAGACCCAGCTGCCAGCACTTGGCAGCTATCTTTAAAACATCCTTCCCCTTCCCTCCCCCCCCACTCTGTGCTGTCTGGGCAGCCAGTTGCAGTGTGTAGATGAACAGCGCGGTATGAACACAGGCAGCATGTGGCAGCTCTGCTCCTGTCCCATCTGCGGGCCTCAGCTATGACTTCCCCAGCCCCTGCCCTGGCAGCCAGGAACAGCAAAACAGATTTGACGAAACTAAACGGTACAGTGCTTCAAAGTGAAATGAAACAAAATGGCGAAATGGACGTTGAAATGAAATGATGGTGTTTTGCACAGCTCTACTGAGCACCCTTACCTCCTCTGAGATCCCTCCCTTCCCAGCCTTAAATACATGAAACAGTGATCTTAATACAGGAGGTTAGATTCATATTTCAACCATTATAAATCTAGGCCCTAAGCAACAGGAAGTTCATCAGCTGGAGGGTGCAATGACAACAAACAATTTTTCTTGGCAAACTTCACTAGCAAGGCTTTTTCCAGGCTCCAGCTATAAAGTAAATCTGCCTCCCGGTGAGAAATCAGGGGAATGAGACACTCAGCAATAACATCTCCTGTTCTCTGTTTGAAAATGAGAATGCTGTGGGTTTAGCATACAAGGAATGAAATGTTGGGATAAATCTTGTCTTGGAGCACACTAGAGGGTAAGGAAATATCTTCTTCCCTGCTTGCACAAGGAACACACTGAGAGAATCGTCCACAACTAAAACTCTTCTCTATTACTGCCTAATGCTAATTATTTAAAGCAGCGCACTGCCAAAATAGAAAAAAAACTGTACTACCTGACCACTAGTTTGTGATTTAGCACAAGGTGTACTTTCAGTACTAGTCCCTTTGAAAAACACCAAGCTAGACTCTTGGCTGCTTACAGACATGAAAAAAACCACAGTGCTTTGCTTTCAGCTCAGTTTGCCCCCGTACCAAGTGCAGCACATGCCCAAAAGAGGCATCACATTCATGTAACCCTGTTTGTCCAACATCTGCATAGATTGCACACTTCAGCAGGACTTTTTGGCACTTTTGTCTAAGAGCTGATTAAATCAGCTCTTAGACAAAAGTGTCAAAAAGCCCCACTAAAGTGCCTGATGTATACAGACACTGAGGAGCAAGGTCAAACTAACATGCTTTCTGTTCTGGTAAAGTGCTGCTTTTTAGGTTTTTTTCACATCTGTCAGCAGCCTTTGCGGCGTTCTGGAAGGACACAACAGTTAGAGCTTTGGGAATTGCCCATTCTTATTATTTGGCACAAATCAGGCCTTTTTGTGTCCTCTCTCTTTCAGGTTGACATAACATTGCCTCCAATTCACCAGTTTTAAAATACTTTACATATTACCGTGGATGTATGTTTTTTTTTTAACTGAACTGGTTTACCATTGTCAAAACAGAAAACATTTAGCCTATATGCTTCCACACCTCACCGAGCAGTACCCTATGCAACAGTTAATGCTGCCTGAGGTAGCATGCTTCCAATAGCATGATAACATGCTGTAGGATGGCTATGGAGGGAAGTGTTAAAACTGTGCATGAATGAAGTGAGGGGCTACTGGCCTATGGCAGCTCTTTGCCTATTGGTTGGATAAAATATGGCATCTTTATATCTTAGAAAAGGTCTCATAGTGGAGAGTTTCTTCCTTGGATGTCCTGAGTATATTTTAAAAGTCCTTGCAGCAGCAGGATGCAGACTGCAGTTATGCGACTGCTTTACTTGTGGCAGGTTATGGTGCTATGTTTTGTGGTTGTGTGACAGAGTTGATTGTGTAGTTTTAGTAATAGGTTAGACAGATTTGTATGGGATGGTTTGGATAGGAATGGTTCTGCCTCAGGCAGGATCTTGGATTAGATGACCTCTAAAGGTCCCTTCCAGCCTGACTTTTCTATGATTCTAGTGCAATGCAAATAGTTATGACTCTGTGTGTGTAATTTACAGGCTGCATTTCTCTGTGGGTTTCAGTTGTGACAAACTCATTGATTAAAAAGTGACCTGGTGACCCATGTGTAATGCATCAGTGGGTTCTTTTGTTCTGCACAGTACAATTATTTTGGTAACATATGAATATAAATCTGCCACACTAGCAGTGACTCAGTGGTCCAACAAGTTCATTGTAAAGTTTCTTGCTGTGGCCTCTGATTGCTATTATCAAGCTGTATGCAAGCCCACTACTATGGATATAGTTAGTTGTGCAGTTCTGTACATAAAGGAGATCTGATCAGAGGAACAGTTCAGATAATTGAGGAAGGAATGAAAGTTGTATTGAAAGGTGTTACCATGATTTGGTTAACGAGACTAAAATCTTGCATTTGTGGCCTCATGGTGATTATGACATTCTATTTCCCAAAAAGCAGTCTATGTAGTGTTCAAAGAATAAGCATTTCCAGTGGATTTAATTCAAGTGCAATTTAACAGGCATACCTACTGATACACCAAAAACATGTAAATCTGCTCCATTATATTGCTGCAAATCTGTCAACAAAGATATCTTGTCTTGTATGATTTCAGATTCCTGTTTCCTGCCAGCCAATGACCTCACACACAGTTTTTCTTCATACTTGAAGGAAAGTGAGTAAGAACTTGGTTAGGAGAAGCACAAAATTGTCCTTGAAACTATTTAAATTCAGTATTTGAGACAAGATAGAAACCTTATAATTTAGGAAACATAACATTAAAGAATCTATGTCTGTACACTTGAAATTATCAGTCTGTAGAACAGCCATGCACCATCTGTGATTTTGCATTAAAAGGTTTGTTTCTTCATTATTTTATACTGAAAATGTGTTATTCTGCATTGGAGTTTTTAAATTTTGCTTTTAAAGAAATGGTTGGGAAATATTTCTCATAGGTGACCAGGCTTTGTTAAACAAGTAAGTGTGTTTTCATAATTTTCATAATTGTAACATAATTGTATCACTGTCCCTGTCTAGCAGAATTAACAATGGGAATTTCTATTATCTTACATCCTGATAAAGAGATCTTCTTTTAAGTTTTGTGGCACAAGAACTGTCAGTCTTTTACAATTTCTCCCTGAATTAAAGCACTGATATAAATCATGTTGCATAGCAAGTGAATGAGAAAATGAAATCGATGAATTTACATATGCATGCACAAAAGTGGAAATGTCATCTTTATTTAACTCAGTGATTCTGAAACAAGGTGCTCCAGCAACCTGGGTGCCTTGAGATCCTTTCAAGGGAACCACGGGGTGCCATACAATGTTAGAAATGTTTGGCATGCAAACAAGTTTTGCAAGATAAATCCAGAGATTTCAAATAGAAATTCACAGTGTTCAGAACATTCAGACCTGTTGTGGTCTGAGTTCTTTGCAACAGAACTGCCCTATTATTTTTCTGTAGTAAAAAATAAGTGAAAACTAAGAAAGAGCTGACATTTTCTGGGGGGTGCTCTGAGTCTAACAAGGGGTGCCTTGAATCTAATGAAGTTGAGAACCACTGATTTAACCTATGTGGTTGTATAATATACTTGGTAATTATATTTTCTTGGAGGATACATTAAAGATTTTGTTTTATTAATTTCTCAGATATGCCTTAAACTACAAGTTTTGCTACAAACCTAGATCTTGTAGTGGTCAATGTGCAGGAAGTGTGCTCTGTTTTTCATGCGCACATGTCATTTGCAGTTGTGGTTTGTATTTTAGTAGTAGCTTTCTCTCTGTAAGTTGTGCTTCTCATTTACAGTCTGTCCCAAATGGGTAAAGCTTCGTAAAACTCATAAGGAGAAGAAGTCGGTGTTGATGCTGATTCTTTGCAGCTCTGCTCTCCGTTCCCTGGAGCTTATTAAGTATGTTGATAGTAACTGTCGCATTGAGATTAACACCCATTCAGGGGTTTTGCCCAGATGCAGGTGTAGTGATAATTTTATTACAGTCAATGACAACTCCTACAGTTGACTTCTGTGCCTTCATCCCAATTCCTGAGGGTATTCTGTGGCCCAATAATCAAGTGGAGAAGAGCCAGGCTGGATGAATTTTACGTTTATTTTGTCCTGCATAATTTATATTTATGTAGTATAGAGTGGTTTCTTTATAGAGAATTTTGTGTCAAAGTGGAGTCTCAGGGAACTTTTCTCACCTTTGGATAAACAAGACTTCTGAGTAACTGGAGTGAGGATAACTGAAGCTCCTCTTACAGTGAAGGTTATGGGAGGCCAGGAGGGATGATAGTCCTAAGTGTGGCATTACATAAGGAAACTGTAAATCTTAGCTTTGCCAGTAGGGAATGGTTTACTTCAGGTCTTGTGTTCCATGGTGGAAACATTTTTGTTTTTAAATTTGGTAATTGCTCAGTCAATGATTTTAGAATCAATTAATCTTGAAAGCACACCCCTACCTGTCCTTTAAATGTTATCTACATGCACGTCTAAATAGCTTGTGTTAATTGCTCCTAAATTACACCCTCTATTGTTTATGTACCCTTGGAGCTACTTATAAGAGATTATCGTCTCTTATTATCATGATTGTGGAGATTATCATACATATAAATCATTATTTCAAGGGAGATTTTGAAAGTACGACCGAGTCAGTTGGAATTGTTTATTAACGTACTGAAAAATCCAATCTCCCATAATTGTACTAGAAAGTCCTTTTGCTTTCCCCCTTGTGCACTCTTCATTGCAGGACTGATATCTTAGTTATGTTTTTAATTTATCCAATGCTAGGTCAATGACAGCATTCAAAGGAGACTGCAAAGTTCTGAAATTGTTTGCAAAACACATAAAGGTGAGCAGGTTTCAGTGTGGCTAACTGTTCACATGTCACTGCCTTTGGCAGTAATAATATGTTTCAATTACATCACTGCATAAGGTTTCCTCTTTGTAGCCTCTTATGTGATTACAAGCAGTGCCTCCAGGCCCTCCTCATTTTCACTTGTACTTTGTGGCTTTATGTGCTGTTCAAGTCCCTGCATATGTTGTTTATAGATGTTTGTTTGTTTGGGTTGGAAGGGACCTCAGCAGATCATCGAGTCTAACCCCCTGCCCTGGGCAGGAAAGAGTGCTGGGGTCAGATGACCCCAGCCAAGTGTATGTCTAGCCTCCTCTTAAAGACCCCCAAGGTAGGGGAGAGCACCACCTCCCTTGAAAGTCCATTCCAAATTTTGGCAACCCTTACCATAAAAAAGTTCTTCCTGATGTCTAACCTAAATCTGCTGTCTGTCAGTTTGTGGCCATTGTTCCTAGTTACCCCAAGGGGTGCCCTGGTAAACACAGCATCTCCTATTTCTTGCTGTGTGTGTTTTCTTCCCCCCCCCCCGATGAATT